TTTATATGAGATACTCATTATTTTCTTTAATATCAAATCACTCACATTAAAGATATTACTTTTTAGGACTGTCACAAAATGACTAAAATGTCTTGTCTAATCGAGAAAATTCAGACATCTTAAAATGTTAAAATTTTTTAAAAGCTCTGATAAGTTATTTTACTGTACATACAGTCTGAGACAAAAGTTACTATACAGTTGGTAGTTCATGAATGGTATACTTGGTATTATATGGTTGGTACAAAATAAGATATTACATAAGCAATTGAAAATAATTATTGTTTTTTTTTTCAGTGTGGAATGTTAGAAATTCAACTGTATACTGAATGCAATAACTGTTTAGTTACTTTTACCCCTGTATGTAATGCTAACACTAACCCGACTGGTGAGCAGACTAGAAAACCACACTTTTAAAAAGCTATACTTTATACTTATGTGCCATACAAAGATACACTTAGTTAAAATTTACAGCTTTCCTTAAAATGTATTTGAAATTCCAGTTATTAAGCTAATGTAAAAAAAAATATGTCTTAATTACAAATATAATACTTCACTGGGAAAGATTGTATAGTTACCTAGTTGACTTCTCCTTGGAGTGGCAAAATATTTTGTAGACATTGCTGCACATATAAAATAAAACAAAACTTTATTTACATCTTGCAATGTAAACAAGTCGATAAAAAAGTATAGTAGCTAAAATAAAAAGAAACATGATTGTACCTGATGTATGACAAAACCTTGTTGAAACGTTGTACATTTGCGGTTATGTTAAACTTATATTAAAGTTTTTCATCATTACCCATTCAAGCCGTCTTCAGCCATAATTAGTCTCAAAGTGGGTTCCTCGTCACTGAAGGTGATGCATTACATCATAGGTGATGACACTGTTTTATGGTAAACAGGTGATGTAGAAGGTGACATTGTTGTGTGTTAAACAGGTCATGCTTTTTATTATAAAAAATAACAAACCTTACTTGGTTTACTGAAGAGAAATTTGAACTGAAGTATTTACAGAAACGATCATGAAAAGCGACACAGATAAGGTATTCCCTAAACTTCATTAACAATCTGATTTATCCAAATAATTTGTCTTAGTTGTTTGCTTCTCATTAAATATCTCCATGATTATTCTATAAAACAGTTACAAATTCCAGCATTGTTAAGGCTCTGGAAAATACAACTTGGGTGAACTCAAGATAAAAAAAGAAATCACCCTTAAATAAAACACTGAAAACCTTGAATCTCTCTGTTGGCGTGACTTTCTACTTTGTCTGGTACAAAGTTAAACAAATCCTGAGTCTTTCTCTGTTAGTGTGACTTCTTAGTTTGTTTGATATATAGCTAAATAAAGACTAATAATTTCAGTATCCATGTTTCAAAAGAAGTTAATTAGCTTAATGTTAAACTTCTACTATTTATAAGGAATACTTTTTTCAGAAATAAATTTCCTATTTTTTCACATAGTAGTGGATTGATTAGAATCACGCGTTTATTTCCAAACTGATAATGTAACACAACTTATTGAAAAGAGAACTTGAAATACTTGTTCATACAACACTTACATATAGGGATTCCGGCAAATTGAACTTGTTAAGCTGTATGTCTGGAAACAATTCCGGTCGATTACCTCCACCATGCCCATTGAAAGTTTGGGGTCTGTTGTTACCGTTAAACTCTGGTTTATTCCAATAGTTTGTAGTCCATGGTTTGGCGTATCCTCCACCTGTTAAACTAGGTCCACCAGTTTCATACTGTTGTCCTCCCATTGCAAGATGGCTACCACTGATGCTACCTGAAGCAGGATATATTCCTCCTCCATAATGGTTGTTCGCAGATCCTCCACTATGTCCAAAGGGTCTGTCTGTGACTTGGTGAAAGGTGCCTCCTCCATAATGGTTGTTCGCAGATCCTCCACTATGTCCAAAGGGTCTGTCTGTGACTTGGTGAAAGGTGCCAACAGAGCCTTGATTATTTTGAGTTCCAAGAGAAGAGCCTCCTGGTCCGTAAGACTGATGATTTACACTTGAATGTTGATTACCATGACCTGATCCGTAAGTTCCATAGTTGTTGCTTGAATATTGGTTACCATGACCAGAATTTCCTGGTCTATAACTAGAATGATGATTTGGAAGCCCTAATCCATAATTGTCATTTGACTGTTGCCCTCCATAACTTGAGCCTCCTGGGCCATAGGGAAGGTGGCTGTCACTCGCGTGTTGATTTCCATAACTTGAACTTCCTAATCCGTATGGATGGTTAGTGTTACCTGACTGTTGGCCTCCATAACTTGAACCTCCTGACCCATATGGACGATTACTGTCACTCGTATGTTGACCTCCATAAAGTGAACTCCCTGATCCATATGGATAGTTACTGTTGCTTGATTGACCTCCATAGTTTGAGCCCCCTGCCCCATATGGATGGCTACTATCACTCGTATGTTGGCCTCCATAGCTTGAGTCCCCTGATCCATATGGACTGTGATTGTTGCCTGACTGTTGACCTCCATAACTTGAGCCCCCTGATCCATATGGACGGTTAGTGTTACCTGACTGTTGGCCTCCATAGCTTGATTCCCCTGATCCATATGGACGATTATTGTTGCTTGATTGACCTCCATAGTTTGAGCCCCCTGCCCCATATGGACGATTATTGTTGCTTGACTGACCTCCATAACTTGAACCCTCTGATCCATATGGACGATTATTGTTGCTTGACTGACCTCCATAACTTGAACCCTCTGCTCCATATGGACGATTATTGTTGCTTGACTGACCTCCATAACTTGAACCCTCTGCTCCATATGGACGGTGATTGTTGCCTGACTGACCTCCATAGCTTGATTCCCCTGATCCATATGGGTGGTTAGTGTTACCTGACTGTTGGCCTCCATAACTTGAACCCTCTGATCCATATGGACGATTATTATTGCTTGACTGACCTCCATAACTTGAATAGTCTGACCCATATCGACGGTTACTGCCACTTGACTGCTGCCATCCATAACTTGAGCTCCCAGACCCATGTAGTCGGTTATCGTTGTTGCCTGACCCTTGACCCCCATAATTTGAGCTCTCTGATCCATAACGACGGTAATCATTACCAAAAGTGATAGACACTCTTGTCGTATAACCATAACCCGAATCAGGAGTTACATCATACGATCTTTGTTTTGGACTATGCGTTGAATTCTCAACTTTGTAAAATGGAATTATATTATCGTCAAACGAAAGCCGTCTTATTTGCATCTTTGAAGTCCTATTTGATAAAAAAGTAGAATCTGTTGCAAGTTGGAAATATGACATTCGCTCTTGATCTCTAAACCCTGGGTTGTCCTTACCACTTAGTAACTTCGCTGATCTTAGTCGTGTTTCTAATAATTGAAACCCTCGGAAGAAACTTCCATATCCAAGATAACTTCGCAGTAAATGAAGCATGTCAATCTCGGAAGGAGTGAGAGACTGTTTTGTTGGATGTTTACTGTAGGACTTAACACCAGGGTAATCGTGGACCTGGTTAATAGATACTCACATTAGTTGTTATTCCACAGCGTGGAAGAGAAGAGCTCGATAATCGTACAGAAAAAAATACACTGTCTCAAAAAATACGTAAAAATTAAACTATATATCATTAATCCCCTAATTTCACATCACATCTTTATAACTTATAAGTTTCTGAATGAAACGAGAAAAAAAATCATGATTATATAAGGACCAACTTAATTGTCAAACTTTCTGTTTTATGTATTTTCTAAAACATGAAAATATATTAAAATCTTCTGATTTTAAAGAAATATTACCATGTTCTGCTCATTAAAGACATTATTTATAGTTGTAAAAGTGGAACGGTATACAGTATGAGCCATAGTTTAGAATATCACTTACCATTTCATCGTACACACATCTCCACATCTGAGGAAAATAAACAAAATCATTTCCTTGTTGAATTTGAAGATTTTATAAACTCTTAAAGTCACATAGATATTTTTTTAATTGAAGTAGAATTTGGCATTATGTTAATTAATTATGACAAAAACAACAATAAAAAACACCAGGCATGAATCCTAAAACATGGACCGTCAAGGATTTTCACTTATTAAAGATTTTTAAAACTACGAGGACTATTTCACGAAAATTAAAACTTAACTGATACCGTTAGCTAAGGATCTGAACTTAAAACAAAACACTATAGGTTTCCATCTTAGTATCGAGTCTCACAGATACCTCTGTCCCCCAGTGACTCAGCGGTAAGCCTGAAGGCTTATAACGGTAAATACTGGGTTTCGATACAGGTGGTAGGCATAGTACAGATAGTCTACTGTGTAGTTTTGCGCTTAACAAAAAACAACAACAAACTAACAGATAGTTCTCTATATATCTCAAAGTAAAAACCAAGTAGATATATTGTTTTAAAAAACATCCAAATTAAAACCACTTAAATACCAAGTCTTAAATTATATACCCACCCTTTAGTTTCAAAGTATGTCCCACAAATATTCAAGCTAAAAATAAAACCAAATAAATATCTAGTCTTAACATATAGCACCTAAATATTCACCCTTAAAACATACCCT